TTATAGTTTGTGAATTTAGTCTATTTCATCAAGTGCTAAATGGATGAAGTACTTTGTGGATATATGATGATAGTGAGAGTTTTTACAAATGAAGATTGATTCTTATTCTGAACTGAAGGAACCATTAGAACAGAGTAACATAACCGTATGTCTAAACATGAGAGTTAATGATGTATGTTAAAAAGGATTAATGATATTTATGCCAATTGTCATGCTGACATGGTTCCCTTTCGCAACAGAGTTCCCAAATGAGGTTGCGTATGACCATGCCTTCAGTGGAGGTCTCCAAATTTTAATGATTCTTGCTAGGAGGAAAGTCAAGGAAAAGACTAAACCTACGTCACACTCTTATTTATTTTTATTAAAGCATTATACTAACTAAATTTACTTATTATTTATAGATTTGTATTGTGAAAAATCCACCCAAATATGGCATTGTATACTCCCAACATTTTGTGAAAAGAAATACCCAAATTACCTTTCATGTGAACGAGTTACCAAATTTATCAGGGTGGGTCGTGCTGAGCACCATAAGCTCTTAAATATTGATTTGAACGATTGTAAAATAGAAACAGAAAAATATTTTTAAATGTAATTTGTCTTTTTTAAAGGACTTAACGTAGGAGGTATAAAGACTGCATTGATATCATATATATACAAATTTTTACTCATTAGTCCTTATTTTAAGCCATGCATTAGGTAGCTGAAATGCCCTATGTGTACAAACAGGCAAGTGCGTTGCTATTTTTCGGTTTCAGGTGCCATATTTTCTATATTGGTGAAATAACATTTTAAACATTTTGCAACACTCGAGCATGTTATTTGTTAATTAAAATGCATGCATTTCGACTATCTATTTTTCTGTGATTTTGAAACATCAACGACAAACTACAATGCCCAAAATGTTCGTAAGCATTTATAGGTGTAATTAGTTAGAAATACATATTAATTTTTTGAATTTTGACTTCAAAACAATCACATTAACACAAATATTATATTTTCTGGTAGGAGTTTGCAACATATTTTGGAGTTCTTGATAGCTAACCAAAAGACATCAATTTAACAACACTGTTGGAACAGTTTTGACTGAACTTTATCAACTCCTTGATAGTAATACTTAGAATGTAACGATAATTCCAACTCTTTTTTAGGAAATACACATTATACATAACTGGCTGAAACTATTCCATGGTTCAAATCCTCATGCTTCAAGATTCAAAAAGAAAAGACAAGAAAAAAGTTTGGAATTATGGATGATGATGGTGATTGTAGATTATGCGTAGTTTTGGTGGTAGAGTAAAATGTTTTTTTCACATCTTAAGAAGTGTTTTGTTCTATAAAATTCAAATTTAAATAGTTAAAAGGTACATTATGTATAGTGGCTGGAGGAGGAGGTGTAAATGATTATATTTGTTAATGAAGACGTGATAGTAAAAATGAATCACATTAATGTATTATACTTGGAAAAAACCTACCCATTAGCACTCTACTTTCAAAAAAAAATCTCTTATTAAGGTATCGTAATTACCAAGGATAATTGTTATTTTTTCGAACATTTTTGTTAGTGTACGATATTTGTATAATGCAAAACAGGTATATCTAACTACTTACATGTAGATTTTCTAAAATGACCCTTACACCTTAGACAAAACCTGATGATCCTTGGTTATTTTTTAAAAAATTACAATTTTTGTCCTTGGAGATTAAAAAAGAACAAGACTTATGTGAGATTAGAAGGGGGAATTTAAACCTATTTGCAATTTCATACCCTCAACTTTTCAATAATGATCAATTGTGGAAACTATTTGTATTTATGTTTCCACGATTGTACAAAACCACTTATTCATAGAAATTATATGATTTCCACTTTTGTAGGCATATGAAGTATTTACCATGTAAAGTGATATTTGTATCTTAGTCTTGTAGTGTTGTTAGATTATGTCGAATCAGAGGGCTCTAGGGGCGTGTTTGGCAAAAATAGCTGTTAGCTGGAAGCGGGTAGCGGTTAGCTGGTAGCGGGTAGCGGGTAGCTGGTAGCGTGTAGCGGGTAGCTGGTAGCAGGAAGCTGTAGCTTTTATTTGTTATATGAGTGTTTGGTAAAAGTAGCTGCTAGCTTTTGAAATATATAAAATTACATAAAAGGACAATTGATTAAAAATAAATAAATATATAAATATATTTTTAAGGGTAATTATGGAAATTGATTTCAAAAGCTCAGTAGCGTTTTGTTAAACGCTACATGAAGTAGCTTTTAGATTTGGAGCGTTTTGTTTAAACTAAAAGCTAAACGCTCGTACTGCCAAACGAAGCTTTTTGTTTAAACTAGAGCGTTTTGTCAAAAGCTAAAAGCTAGAAGCTCCCAAACGCTTCCAAAAGCTCCGTGTCAAACACGCCCTAGATCAATAACGTCAAGAATGCCACACTTGTATATGTTAGTACAAGATAGGAATTTATGGCCCACATTTGGTTATTAAGTAAGTTAATATTTACAAAGTCTGGCATGTTTCTTGATATTTGACTTGATATTGATTCATTATTTCTTTCACCCGATTTACATTTACAGGAGGTGTTTAGTAAAGAGGGCAATGTTAATCGGACTCGATGCACTTGATAGTACTTTGGTTTTTTTTAGGAAAATATTTTTTCCCAGGAAAAACTCAATCTTGTTATACTCAAAGCATAATGATATATTTTGTATGTATTTTGTTATAAAAGGCAAAAGTAATGTCAAACGCAATTATGCTCTCAAAAATCACAAAGCATATTTGTGTTATGCAATGAAAGGAATCGTTGGTAATTGCTTTCTATTCAAAATGCATACCAAGTTCGCGATGAATAAAATTTATATTATAGCTTGTATAATTTTAAATCGAACAATACATATTTTCTAATTTATTGTTTTCGTGATCTTTTTCTTATGACTCTTGACACGTGAAGATGCTCCTTTTAACAAACTCATAGTTCATCTTTGCTCCTTCGATGGAATGGTGTAGATGATTCAAGCAAGATACTATAACATTGTAATTTTATTTTTTTTGTTTATTAGCACAATATACGTTAGGCACGTAAAAATACCCAAATTACCTTTTGTGGGTCGTGCTTAGCACGGGCCTCAAATTTTTCTAGTATATATATATATATATATAATATATATTATATATATATATATATATATATATATATATATATATATCTATATTATTATAGGGTTAGGTTTCATGTGAGACGGCCTAATTTTGTGAGACCGTGAGACGCAATCCTAACCACTCATTTAGTAGATAAAAAAACATTTTTAAAATGCAAAATAATTGAAATTTTTCGAAAAAAAAATTTCAAATATTATTTTCGGAATTTATATTTTCCAAAAAAAATAAAAAATACATTTTTTACATATTCTAGTAGAATATTAGAATGTTTTACATATCTGAAAAATCTAGTAGAATATTCTTACATTCTAAAAATCACATTAGAATATTTACAGTGTAATATTCTATTAGAACATTTCACGTATTTTTCAAAAAAAAACGGTAATTTTATTTTATTTTATTTTATTTAGGTAATTAAAGTTTCGAAAACAATAATTAAAAAAGAATTTTTGGATTTTTCCTTTTATTTTGCATTTTAAAATTATTTTTAGATTTGGTCTAACGGTCTCACAAAATTAACATGGTCTCAAATGAACCTGAACTTATATATATATATATATATATAATATATATATATATATATATATATATATATATATATATATATATATATATATATAGACCACACACCCGTTGTTACCGGCAATATTTTAAGACCTTATTTTTTTAGTTGTTTTAGTGTAACAAACGGTTCACTAGTCGACCGAATCAACCCGTTTTCAAAATATGAATGATTGTTTATAGCTACGATGTATATAATGATGTATTTCCTAGTGGATTTCACATACTATTGAAATCTTTCAAGTATGAGTGATTATTGTCTTCTTCTTCCACCCAAAAAAAAAAAAAAAAAAAAGTGGAAGCATTAGTTCAAAATTTAAGACTTTCGATTGAATATCAAAATTTCTGGAGTTAGAAATATACATGAGAAGAATTACAGTCAATTTAAAATTTTGAATCCAAATATATAGTACTTTGAAATTCATCAAATCTTTACCATTTACTGAAATAAAATATATAAATTTAATAAAGTTTTTACTTAACATGAAAATATTGATGTTTTGAGGAAATGATAAAGAAGAAAATTGTTTAAATATGAGCTACATTGATCCTTGCAAGAATCAATCTTCAAACATTTTCAAACGATTTTCGTTAGAAAAAAAAAAGTTTTCAAACAATGATAAGCATCGATGTGGTTTCGAATTAATCTTGGGGTTATTAGTTAATGGATGTGAAGGTGGTGAGATTTTAGTTAATGAGATATGAGACTTAGTTAATGGATGTGAAGGTGGTGAGATTTTAGTTAATGAGATATGAGACTTAATTTTAGACATGGTTGTCATATTGTAACTGAAATTTAAAAATAAAAAAAAAATAAATAAATAAAAAATAAAAAACATTGAGGGAAGCCGACTAGTCGAGCACTAATAAAGTACTAATAGCCGATGTGGGTTTCGAATTACTCTTGGGCTTATTATTTATTTATATATGCTATAGTCAAAGTATTATAAGAGATTAGGGGTACAATCTGATTCATAAATAGGCAAAACTCCTTTCTTAGCTGACCCGTTTTTACCGATTTACACTCCAATTAGTTCAACCCGCCGGTCCTACCAATTTTTAAAAGATTGATTACCACTTCCAAAAGCAAACCAAAAGTTTCAGAAACCGAGTTACAAAAAATGCTAGTGCATCTCACATCCATTCCGCCAACATTTCAGCATATCAAATATGACACTGAATAATAATTACATGTCAATATCGAATTTATAAACGGATAGTATCCGATTAAAACAAAATTTAAGTATTTCTATCTATGTACAATTCGAATACATATTATCATTGAATTAAGTGTAAGATTTAACCTCAATTCCCAACAATATTCAACAAATAAGACAACGTTAACCCCGTTCTTATTACGATTATCAAACAATCATTCTTCATCTACAGAAAAATCAGGTTCTGTTGGTTTCTGTAATGAGCTACCACTATTTGATTTCGACCCTGAGACTGAGTGCAGGTTCCCTGACCTCCTTGTACTCGCACGATACCCACTCAACCTCGGCTCCGGTGAAACCATTTGACTGACATGCGCCGGCGAATTAACTTCCGACTCATAATCAACGCTCGTAAAACTCTCTCGAGCCCTAAGTTCACTTGCATTCTGCCTCCGTTTATACCTCCTCCACGCCGCCTGCACAAAACACGCCGCCCAAGTCCGCCACTGGTGGCTATAAAACCTAAACTTATGCCGCAATTGCTTACTATGCAATCTCCGATACTGCGACGCCACAAACTTTAGATCCTCCGCTATGAGCGCAAAAGCTTCCACTTCGGAAATCGCCTTCACGGTTCTAGTCGATGACGGAATCACGACGCTCGGCCGTGGGTCCAGGGCCCACGTCAGAAGTTCCTCGCCGCAAAAGTCACCGGGACCAATTCGGCATGAGTTGAAAAACCCTGTTCGGCCGCCGTTTGTGGTGTAGGAATCTAGGTTTCCTCGAATTATAAATAGCATCTTGTCCACCGGATCACCTTCCCTAACCAAACACGTGCCTTGCGTACACAACGCCGGTTTTAATCGCTCGCAGATCGCATCCAACATCCTTCCGTCCATTTGATCAAACAACGGAACCTACACCATCATCATCATCATCATCACCATCAGAACTTCTAAATTTGAAGGTATTATAAACTGTAACTATTTGGGGATAAAACTTACTCGTCGAACTAGATCATAGCAAAGGTGTCGTTTAATATCTCGTCGGAGATCTAAAGGAAGATCTTTGAGAAGCGATTCTTCATCAACCCCTCGTGTAGCTACCCATTTGTATTGATCGTATCTCCGAACAGATTCCCGGAGTTCCGGTGGCAACTGCCGGTGACGCATCCATTGTTCTGTATCAGTTCGCCGGACCCTCCATTCTTCTAATCTAACTGTCGTCGATTGAAGATATGTCTGCATATTTCCGATCAACAACGCAAACAGAACTAGCCCCACAATCGCTATTATGATCGCAAAAATGATTTCCCCGACGTAAGTACTCGTTAACAAATTCTGCCCTAAAGAACTGCAGACGAAAAATCAGTGACAATTTAACGAATGATGATGTAATTCAGTATTTGTAATTCATATGATTGTTACCTAAGATTCTTTAAACCGAACCAAAGACAGTAGAAGTATTTGTTGAAAAACAACGCAGAAGTAACATTTGATGTTAAAGCTTCACCATAGATACCAAATTCATAAAACCCGCTTGTTGGAACACATTGTGTTGAGACGTTACTTGAATTGAACCAAATCTGTCTCTTAATGTCGCCAAATGTTTCACAGTCAAAGAATTTATCCCGACAATGTGGATCCTCAAGTAGGCATGCGTGTCTCCAACAAGCTTCTTGTCTCTCTATCGATAAAACATACCAAGAAGCCCCTAAAAACTGCAACAAAAAACAACAACAATTTTAGAACAAGATTCTTTCTTTCAAATCAACCTTTGTTACACAGGACATGACTATATGTCACGTAACAAACACAACATGAAGGTTGGTTAGATGATTACATGGCTTGCTAACATGTATAACATAAGATTATATGCAGCTCCAGCCCATGCAGTTTCAGTTATAACACCCGTAGCCCCAACAATTTCTGATGTTAAAGGGAATATAAGATAAAGTCTCGGGAGATATTGAAAGATGATGATGAACCGAAGAACGTTTTTCGTGTTAGCCATGGTTGAGCCACTTAAACTCGGTATAATGAGCCAGATTAACATCTACATTAGCCACAAAAACAAACAATCAAAACACGTTCTTATTTCATATTTCATTGTAAAAACAAGAACACAACCTTAAAATCATGTATACCTGAGGAAGAGGTAAGGCGGCGATGACATCGATCAAAAACCCACCTCGTATGTATTTTTTAGCGATCTTGGAAGAATCTATAACGAGTTCGCCTCTTCCAAAAACACGGGAAGATGGTGCAACATAGGCAGTAGAAAATCTAATGTAAATATGAATCATGTAAAAAACATCGGCTATTGATCGTACTATGGTGAGACTGATCTCCAGGTTTAATCCAATATGGATGCAAACGTTTTTTGTTCGAACAGATGGAAGGTAAAAGAACAAAGGGTCTACAAACAAAGAGATTAAACATGCGAACAAGAAAATATTGTTCCATTTTCGAATTGCTAAGCCTCGAGGATCAAAGATTTTCTTTTTAACTCTCTCGTAATCTTCGGAGAAAACTCTTGAAAGAACTTTTGATTTTAATGAAGACCCCCCACTTTCATTTTCCTCTGCTCTTTGATCAGAAACTTGCTTGCCGTCAAGATTGTATTTGATCTTAAATAAGTTGTCTTTGTTCGTGGATGGAAGTTTTGATAGCCCACCATCATCTTGAAATCTGAAGAATTTCATCAAAGCAAGAATTAAAAAACCCAATTTTTTAAAATTTGATCAACACTCAAAAACTACAAGAACTAGAGCATAATAATTGCCATTACACTAAACTAATTCAAGAGTTTGACCAAGTCAAAACGATTCATAATTGAGCATAAATTGAAGCAATAATTACCAAGTAAACAGCTGAAACCGAAACTGTTAAGAAGATTCGATAGGGAAAATACCTTACAGATCTTGAATTGGCATATGACATGGTGATAATGTCAAAAGACTGAATCTTGGAATTGAGTTTCAGTCTTTTAAGAGGAGGGTTTATGGTTTATGGTTATGGAGAAGAAAACTGAAAAGGGGGATGAATCACCGGAAAATTGACCGGTGATGAGTTGCAGACCACTATTGATGAATACCCATTAATGGGGTTGATTCAGAGATTATCAAGAATCATGTGAAGTAGGTAAAAATAACACAAGTTCAAATTCATTAACTTTAACACGAAACTTAAAGTAGTTCCCTTCCTTTTAAACCATGAAGTCCAGGTCAAACATGTGACCAGTTCTTCGAAAAAGAAAGATTAAAATTTTATGAGAAAAGTTTTCTTGTCAATATCTGAGCTTGACTGAAGTTGAAACAGAGTCATATTTGCTCAGTCAAAACATCAAAATTAATCGAAATTAAAAAGAAATATTCAACGGGAAATGAGATACCATAAAAATCGAGGCTTTCGTAAAGAAAACTTGAAAGCTAAGGTGTAGAAAACATCCGTGATTTTAAAGATGAAAAATCATATTTTATGCACGAGACAGCTTTGATGAATGATGAAGCTCTATGGCCCAAAATAAATTAGTTCATCCACGAGCAATGTTTATGTTGTGTCTTGTCTGTGTCTGTGAGGCTTTTCATCGAACAGATTGTGCGCAGAAAAACAGAGCACCTGATGCCAGTTTGAGTGCGTGTCAATTTAGCTCACAGGGATTCATGGTGATGGGAGAATAATGCTCCTAAACCAATATTAAAAATTTAAAATGTCAAATGTTGAAGAAAACCTATTATGTTATATCTTTTCCTTTTTATTAATGATTTTGGTAATCAATTTTGATAGAAGAAAAGGAGTTTGATAAAGAATGTTTATGATTAAACTTAAAAGTATATATTTAGTATTTACCTGCCGTCAATATTATTCGATAATTTAATAATACATATATTACTTTGAAAATATGAAACAAAAGACGAAGATCTTTGTGACCAAGGTGCGGCATACAATTTGTATATTATTTACAGCCGGTTTTGGCTCGTATGCCGGTGTTTGTCGCCCAAGAAAAGGATCGAAAATCTTTTTAAATGCATAAAAGGGTCGATGGTATAGAAGTAGTTTTAAATGAATAAAAGTAGTTTTTGTTTTATAGAGTTGTATAATATAATATTTTAAAACATAAATTGCTGTGGGTAAAGAAAAATTGTTATGTATGAATAACTTATTATATTTAATCATTAAAAAAATTATATTTGGTTTATCGTTGAATTTTTTATTGTGTTTTATAAAAATACAATTATAACCCAATATTGTATGTTTAGCCGTTTTTTGCTATGAGTTGTACTTTCGGTCATTTCTAAGACCAACATCTCTGATCATCTCCTTATATGTGATTTTTGTAGGCACATTTATGTAAATTGATTTTTGGAAATACAAGCTCATGAAGATAATCAGATCTTCATTGTGTTCTTCGTGAATAGAAGCTCATGAAGACTCCCCAGATCTTCATTGTGTTGATTTTCGGATCTTTTTTGTATTTGATTTTTGGATCTCTTTTTGTATTTGATTTGTGAGTTTCAAGTTTCAACTACATATTGGTTAAAATTTAACTAAGACATGCAGTAAACAAGATCCACTCTAACAATAGTCTCATCTAGTGACAATCCTACATCTAAAAACTTAATATTATTTTAGAGTACATGTTTCATGATTGAAAAACAGAAGTAAACAAAATGTATACAACATACGTTTTATGGTGAAAATAATATTATTAGATCCCTTAAAACTTACAATGGTAACAATTTTTATAGAAGACGGTTTCTATTTTTGGTATTTATACGAATAGAAATAGTTCAAAAGTCGGCATTTAAGATACTAAATGATTGAAAATCTTGACCTAAGATGCCACGTGATCAAGGAAAATCCCAGATTCCACATGATTAGCATAAAAAATGGAATAAAAACCAAAAATTCTTAAAGGTTTGGTGTAAATCGAGTTCGGGGTCACAGGATTTTGGCCCCGATGATTGTTCGTAATCGTAGGCCCATAACCAAAGTTGAACATCTTTTCCACTAGTTTCATGTGTTTCCACTCTATATATATTATCCGATCAGTTAAGTTATTTGTTTATTACCACTTATTGTTGTTAACAAGTTAATTTATATAGTTACTACTTTCAAGTTTCAACTATAAAAACATATTAGTATACATGCAACATGACGTCTTAATTAGCAAGCATATTATGAGAACGATGGAGATACATGCAGCATGCACCAAAAAGTCTCATTTAAACTCTATGTAAACAAATATTCAAGTTACTCGAAAGTCTTTAGACTCCTGAAACTTTGAGATTTTTCAAGTGATGTTAGAAGAAAGGATAATTTATAAACAACTTGCATTACATTGGTTTATGGTAGGTTTAATGTTTACAACAATTTTAAAATATGATTGATTTTATAATGATACGTTTTTAAACATAATAATCAGCTTTTAGCTTATCTTAAGACTCGTTTTAGTTGACAGCCTTGCATCTTTCCAATTTAATTATCAAAAATAAATCATAATTTTGTTTTTGCATTAAAAAAGAATGCATAATATAGAAAAAGTAATTTGACTAAAGGTGAAAAAAATGCAATTGATATGATTATAAGTTAAAGTATTGAAAGGATATATGATAGATATTCTTTTTTTTCTAAATATGGAATTAAAAATCTTAGAATAAATAAAATTTTATCTATTTTATATAATAAATTATTAGTAATAAAATTATCCACCGTCGTTGGGGAAAAGAATGTAGGTGAGATAGAGCTGGCATGACATTAAGGTCGTAATGCCGACTCCGGCAACAAACGTGGAAGATGTTTTTTAATTTATTGCAATATAAATAACTTTAAACGTTTTATCAAGAAATTATAATAACTTATAGAGTAAATTACCCACTGATTCATGTGTTTTTGGGTAATTGTAGGTTTGTCCATAACTTTTTTTTAGTAAATTACATGAATCTTCTCTCATGCAGGTGTTATAAAAAAACGTTTAATTCTTATTTTTTAAAAATAAATTCAGACCGTTCCTCGTTTGGTTAAAAATTACACGTTTTATCTCTCATTGATTTAAATCTGTACATTTCATTCTTTATCAGACATAAAATGACTATATTGCCCTTACAATTTATTTTGAATTACTTATAAATTATTTTGTATTTATTGAAAAAGAAAAAATAAATTTACACCCCACCCCACCCACCCAAAAACAGGATATGTAGGTCACACCATGCACACATCCACCACTTATATTCCTCTCCCAATATGCTCTTCACCGCCTAAATCAGATCCTACTTCGGTCATCTTCTCCGACCACCCCGATTTGCACCCTTTTCACATCCGGTCTTAGAAATCAAAATTAAAATCTGAAACCTATGATCCAAATGATTTTAGAAATTGGAAATCATTTCAGAAATCTCAAAAATTGTTTCAAAAATCATACTCAAAATGAAAATCAACCTGAAATCCAAATAGTTCCAAAAATAAAAAATGATGGTTGATCTTTTTGAAAACCTGCAAAATTGGAGCTTTTTGAAAAAATGGTTCCAGAAAAAAAAACCCTTGAAAAATATGAAATCACTCATATCTTTCCTTCTCTCTTGCCTACTCTCTCAGAGCAAACACATAGAGACCAAAACATCACCACCGCCATTTATTCCCAAAAAAAGTGCATGAAGCAAGCAATCACGTTTTTTCCCCGGTAAGAGGGTAGCAGACTACCAATAACATTACCTATAAGAACAACATATGTCGAAAACCAAACCGTAGTCGCCTCTTGTTTTTCCGCCAAGAAGGCGTTACACCCCGACCATCGGCGGAAACGTCGGGGTTGCGACGCCAAGTTTAATCACAGTTAACAACACATATTTAATAATACAAGGACTTATGATACATTACATTCTTCCAAAAATCCAGTACGAGAAATTACATTGTTATCAAACTAAAAGACGATAATTACTAGAACATATTTTGCAAACGTAAGTCAAAATGAAACAAAAAGCCTAACAGATTAGCCAAACATTTAAACAAGGAAATGCATAATTCCAGGACACACATGGTGTGTCTTCCAGCTCCTAAGTTCCTGATACGTTTGAAAACAATACGTCAACAATAATGTTGGTGATTTTTACATGTTTTTCCTTTGTAAGTTTTTAAAATCAAAAGTATGTTTAAACTAATGAGTTATAAAAGTAAAATGCAACATGTTTTACCCTTGTAAACCGATACAAGTATAAGAGATTTGTTTGTGGTTCTGACTTCGTGTATATTTATAATCAAAAGTGTATTTATACTAATGAATTATATAAGTGTAAAGTGCAACATGTTCTATCCTTGTAAACCTATACAAGTAAAAGAGATTTATTTATCGTTTTGACTCTTTATGTTTTTATAATCAAAAGTGTGGTAATGACTAAGAAGATGACTATTATTCCGACCCTGATGGTCATATCAAATTGAGTCCGACTAAGATAAGTATTGTATGTGGTTCAGAGAACCAAGTTCAATGTAGCATCCAACTTAAGCCAGAAGATTGAAGTGAAAGATAATCGAAGCGATCAATAGAAGTATCGTAATCACCGTGAAAGTAAGAAGCTTGTAGCTAGAAGTGTTGTATGCTAGAATGTGATTATACCATATCAAAACATGAAGGAAGGTATCTTCCATTCTGGTTTCTGACTCAAAAAGACCTGAGTCTAAGCGTTGTATCATACGACGAGAGATCATTAGAACATGACCCATCGATTTTGTTACGGTAATTGAAGTAAAGAACTTGTCTTACGTTAAGTCTGTTTAGGAAGGAGCAAGAGCCTGCAATAAAGATCGAGTTTGTAACTCGAAGTTTACGATTGAAAGTCCAACATAGTATGAAGAGCAAATGCAAGATTGAGCACCGTCAGCAGTCAAGAAGTCGAAGAGTTAGATGCTCATTTGAAAGGACATAAGAGTTACGGTTATTACCTAGGATGAAAACATAACGTGTGGATTCATTATACAAGCCCTGTTTTGTTGATGATTTCGGGACGTAATCATCTAAGGGGGAGATAATTGTAACGCCCGCAGATTCGGGCAAGACAATTTAGAGATAATAAGCGTTAAAAATGGCTTTTTGATATAAGATTATTTAGAATATATAATATTAACCAAATTTATAGTATATGTCACAAGGATTCCATACATATAAAGAGCGCTGAAATCCGACTTATAACGA